CGACTAGTAATCAATGCCAAATCCGGAGAAACACCTGGCCGCTGTGATACAATTCTGTTGTTGCGATAATAATAATAGAATACATATAGCAGGATTAAAATATTTTGTAGAAGATATGAGCAGCAGGAATAGGCATTAGTCTTGCAGAGAAGAATATATTCTGCATGAAGAATATCAATTTCTATTTCTATTATTTCCAGAAAAACCTTGTATGAAACCATGAAGGAACATTACCAATATAGACAATACTCATAAACTGAACACCATTCTGACTCAACATAAGGCAGATTCATTCCATTTTAAAAATAAATAATACATAGCTAATTCCTAATTAACCTAAATCAGGATGATACAAAATAGTATATAATAGGTTATGTTCGTTCCAAAACCAGCAAGTACACCACCGCATTTCACCTTTTATTGTCACGGTGTTCAACAATCCTGTCATTCAATTTCATCTGTTGAGTATTATGACTGAGCTGGGCTTTGAACCTTGATCTCCCTAATCAAACATATTGTTAATTACAACACAGTTCTTTTATATATACATATTGGCTACTTCTAGTTTTTCTTGCTTTTGCCTTATAAAAATTAAGAAGATGCTTATCATATGAACAAAGTTACAGTCTTAAGTTTCTGTACTCCACACTTATAGAAAGATCTCCAAGCTGTAATGTAAGGTGACTGTGAATGAGACTGATGAATAAAAATATGGGCAATTCAACTCAAAGAAGCTAGAGAAGAATAAAAGTGAAACAAATATATTTTATGGGTGAATAATAAATTACATTATCATGTTAAAATGTGATAGTTCTTTATTTCTTTACTTATATATCTTCTTTATCCATTATATAATATACATAATTTCTTCTCTATTTCCTAAAATGTTAATAGAAAGGGTTCAGGTATACATAAGCCAATTATTTCAAGAGGAATTCAAAATAAGCAATTGCCTGATACAAAAGAATACATTTTTGTTTAGGTTTTATTGCTTTTCTTACTTTTGATGTCTCTCCCATGTTCCCCTCCCAGAAGTAGAGACATCAATGTAAAGCTTATTAATGCTGTTCCATGTTTGTTTATTAAAAATACTTGCAATAAAATTCAGTAAGTTATTGAGATTTATATAAAAATAACAAAATAAGGCTAAAGCATAAACATTTCCAGGTAAGAATTCTAAGGTTTTAAGAAATAAAAACTATATAAGAACGCTACTGAATCATTATGAGAATTGATTGTTTCTCGGTTTGTCTTTTGCTCTACAACATTGTCAGAGAGCAATTTTCAGCTTCAGGGGAAAGAAGATGGTTTTGTAGCATGGGCAGGTGTATGTGTGTCCACATGCACGCAAACACGCACTGCTTGTGTGAATAGGGTCGCAAGCGAGGCTGCGAGCACCCATGACGCTCACAGTGACACTCGTGTGGGTGAGCCAGTGCATGCCCATGGCCCACAGGTTGGCGACCCCTTAAGTACATATTTGTATACCTGAAAGAAATATTGCTTGCCCAGAGCAGATGGCAAAATTTATGCTTGCAGTAATTTATGTGCAGATAATCAGTTCATTCATCATGAATTCATCAATATTTTGAATGTCCCAAAGATATATCCTCACCTTTTCATCAGCTACTTTCCCACCTAATTGATTCAATCCTACGATGGTATAATAACTTCCTTCTAAATCAGTAAATGGACGATCCAAAGAGTTTTGTAACCTCTGAACATCATGCAGTGTGAGGTAATGACTAGGAGTCAAGGCTGCTATCTTGTCCACAGATATTAAGACCAAAATGAAAAATGTAAGATACCCTGAAAAAAAACAAGAAAAGATAAACGCCTGTGAATATCATTGTTGAGTGCATATATTAGTTGAATAATTTTCTTTATCCAGTTGGATCATTACACTATTCAGATATCCTTAGCCCAAGGAGAAAAAGTATTATAGAGTCAAAAACATATAATTAAAGAAATCAATTTGATGCTCATGCACAACATACTGTTAACAAGTTTTATTAAAACAGGCTACCTTTCCAATAAAACAAGGAATATATTTGCAAATATTAAAGTTGATTTGTTTAAAAAAATATCTGTGTTCTTCTAGATATGACAAAAGACTGTTTTTATTAGCCCAAATAAAAATGCAAATACCATAATTGGTTGAAAGGGGACAGATGGGAAATTGCTTTATCTCAGTTGCAATTAATTTCCTGCCACCTATAGTACAAAGAAGCTTGGAAAATGCAAGACTTGTAATTAGCCATTCCGAAGTGACACTGACATACAAAAAAGTTTGCCACAGGACTTGAAGATAGACAATACTATTCTGTCTCAAATACAAATAGTCCCATTAATTTAAAATGACCATCAGAATCAATCACCTTTCAATTTCATTCATTCCCATTACAAAATAGAAATGAATGAATGCAAATAACTTTTCAAGCTACTTAATCCCAATTTTCTTGCCCATTTTAAACGGTACAGAGATCGATCTTGTGCAAAAGAAAGTGGTAGAACCCAGGTAGGTATCGAACCAGGCTTACTGATCAAAAAGCCGAAATTATTACAATCTTCTAATGCAATTTTATATTCAAGAATGTGTTTTCTGAACCAGATTACGTTTACATCTGCATACTGACACGGATATTAAAGAACATAATTACCTAAGCACAATTACCTGACAGAAAGCATCAAGGAACATAAAATAAAAATGTACAGGATTAATGCTGTAGGGGAAAAAAAACCTTTAGGGTATCAACCCTGTTCAGTTAATGCTACAGTAGCGAACAGGCTCAGTTCTATTTAGAGTAAGTTTAACGAACGCATACAATCGCCACTTGCTTTAAATAACAACTGAGGCATTTCGCTCCAAATAAGGCTCCTTTGTGTTCCTCAACTGCTTGACAGGTAGGTATTCAGCAGGTGAAGCTTTTTTTATCAGCCTTGACATGATAGGTAAGATTCATTCTGATCGTGCCAAGGCCCTTTCCCAGATTCCCTGAAGGGGAACTCACACCCCAGACTTCAGAAAGGACTCCTCTACTCGCCCTCCCTAAGCAGGACTGAAAAGGCAACAATCCCTTTCCACGCCGTCACCACCTCACCACACTCCTTACCCGGGGCCGCCATTTTCCCCCTCGCCTGCACACCAAGGGAAGACCCCACTTCCGCCCGGAGCTGTGGAATGTACTATTTAGCCCGACGTAACTCTTGCTCTTAAACAGCAGGATTAATATTTGGACAAGGCAGACCGATTCGCTCCTTTCAACCTGTGGGAGTGGAACGTAGTTTAAAGAATGGGAACGCCGGCTCTGGTGCTCATTTCCCCTTGGTCAGCACGAATGGTACATTCCAACACGGTGGCTTTGGCACTGGGCGGAGCTTAAGGAAGGATGTGGCGTCCGCTGAATGGCTGGCAATCGAATCCTTTAAATCGAAGGAGGCACATTCAAACATGCCTGCTGTGGAATGGTTTTGTGCGGGGCGGGTCCAATTCCAAATCTGTACTGAGGAAGTTTTTCGGCCAGGTTGGGAAATTGCAGGCTGTAGAGGAGAGATTATTACAGGTCAGTACAGAATAGTCACATACTACTCTGATCTCATAGCTAAACAAATATACAGAATATTTAGACACATCATTTAAGAGACCTCAGAAGCGCACCAGCGTGCATAACGTCCCTGTCCTACTGCCCCCATTTATTTGTACCTATTTCCTGGTTCTTATTTATGTTTATTCGTATTCCTGTTATCCTGTACATGAGTGACTAAACAAACAAACAAACATGGAACCATTTTGCATCCCATCTGTGAGGATTTAATTGAAATTGTCTTGATGTTCATACAGCTGATTAAATGAAATATCTTGAACAAAAGTTTGAAGACTTGACTTCCATTAGGAAGCAATTGTTAGCTATAAGGCTAAACACTTATGGCAATGATTTTTTGTTTCTTCTGGAAGAATTCAAAGTTCCACAAGAGGATATAAATAAGTCCATAAATATCTTTTGAAAAGTTTATGCTAATACAGTACTGTACAGTATTATACTGTAAATGAGAAGCATCCTGTTGTCAAATTTAGACTTGAAGACATATTCCAACTATGGTGCACTCCAGTTTATACTTGCAGTCTAAAGTCACTGCAAATTCTGCTTTAAGGCTAGTACTTAAGCTTAATCAATGTTTCAATGAGCAGAATGGAAAAAAATCTGGAAATCACAACTGATCACTAATCACTGTTATCCTGTACATGAGTGACTAAATAAATAAACAAACAAAGATGGAACCATTTTGCATCCCATCTGTGAGGATTTAATTGAAATTGTCTTTCCCTATGGAAATATTTTTTTAAAGCAAATCCTCTTTCATGGCGATGAATGAAAACTGTTAACCCCATAAAGACTTTTTGCTGAAAAACAGAAAGAAAAAAAATGGACATGATTTATGAGTTTGACGACTAAAAAGGGGAGATTATGGAAAGGGGGAAACTTAGATCTGAACTTCAGAGAAATGTATAACTTCTGTAAAGAAGACTGGAAGCCATTACTTCATTTTTCTTTTTTCTTTTCTGCTTTTTCTATATTTCTTTTTCATCTTTCTATTTCTTTTCTTCATTTATCTTAAACTCAACATTTGTATTATTTTTAATGTGTGGAAAAATTTCTTAATTAATGTGTAGGTAAGTGTGTGCGAGAGAGAACTATTGAAATACAGAATAATTTCTGTGCTTAATCTAATGAGGATACATCTTTCATAATTGGCTTTCTACCTGGGCATGAACAAAGGGGATGGAGCTTGGATCCCAAGGCTACGCCTGCTGTATTAACATTTTGAATTCCAGGTCTAGGCACCACTGATGCTATTAGAAATATTTAGCTTTTAAATATTAAAATCTTATATTGACAAACGGAAAAACCCCAACATTTTTAAGTAGCCTATCTAGATAGAATGTATCATGGCTCTCAAGCAATTTATGGTTGGATTTGATGGACTGAAATTCTTTCAGATTCTTAGATTCTAAATAAACAAAGATTTCAAGCAATGACAAAAAATTAAGTATTTTGCTTTTAAAAATCCAACCTTACCACTCCTTTTGGTAGGTAAATAAATGAATGAGCAAAAGCCTGTAAATAGAAAAACTAGATGGGGAGATGATGTAATTCTTAATCTAACCCACAGAGGGTAGTGGAATCATTTTTTTGTTTCTTCTGGAAGAATTCAAAGTTCCACAAGAGAATATAAATAAATCCATAAATATCTTTTGAAAAGTTTATGCTAATACAGTACTGTATAGTATTATACTGTAAATGAGAAGCATCCTGTTGTCAAATTTAAACTTGAAGAATAAGCAGCAATTAGTGATTAGCTTTGTTATAATTAACTCTCAGTTCTGTTACATTTTCAGTTATATCAAGAGAGCTAGATGCATAAGAGATTCACCTGGAGTTTGCACTAGGGATCTTTTTATAATCTGCTTGCAGATTTTATTATAGTCCAATAAAACCTACATCCAAAAGCTGATTTAATTGCCATAACACTGCTGAACCACCACTCAGCAAGTTACTGTCTTTTAATTATTGAAGTTATTATTTTTTTTATTATTACGCAAGAGAGCAAAATCCAAAAAGAGATAGCTGATGTCATTAAATATTTTGACTCAAGAATATTAACTTCATTTTAAAGGCAGGAGAACAGCATATAAAATAAGTACCAGATGACTGTTAAAATTGTATTTATTACATTTTAATAAGTCCATGAGCTTGATCTGTATCCTATTATTAAACTGTTAAAACTTTCCATGAGAACTTTGGAGCTTTCTCAGTGACTGTAGGTTATGTCATATTCATGTTGCTAGCATCAATACTTACAGGAGTTGGGAATTATCTTGTACTTTAAAAAATTAAGCTCTTTTCGATGCTCGTGTGTGAACAAAAAGAAGATAATGTAGTACTTGTGAATGTGTGGGAAATAAAAGACAGTTTACTTCTTGCTATTGTTTAAAGCAAGCATGGGAAGGGCACTTGTACTTCTAGCCAAGATTAAAATCCTGCAACTAAATTGTGTGAATGTCATTTGCACAGAGCCAGAGAGGATAAAATATAAATAAATTTACAGCTACTGTAAATATTGAAAACTCCCTTTTATATCTCTCTTGTTTATCTTGCCCTTTTTATTTGTTACTTATTAACTTACTTTTCTTTGTTTTCTTCTATTTTGTTTAAATTTAAATTATTTTTATTCTGTAAAAATTTAAAAAAATCATTTGCATTGGTTCTCTAAGTGCAATTTTCAGGATGTTTGCTCAAAAGTAAGCTGCAATTGTACACTGTAAATAAGTCTGTTTAAGATTACTGTTGGGATTTCTTTTTCACATGTAAATTTCAGTTTGAGGGATGACAATGAAATTAATGACTTGGACTGTGTGGTTGTAGAATTATCCATCTGGCTGTTTGATTACCATTAGTGAACTTCTCATGGAGTAACTAATAAATGACTAAGGGCTTTAAATAACAACAACAACAACAACAAAATTTGGAGCGGAAAATGCGCAAACTTTTGAATATGTATCACACTTTACATCCACAAAGTGACATCAACAGGTTGTACCTGCCACCAAAAATAGGGGGCAAAGGGCTATTGCAAATCCATCAAACTGTAGAAGAAGAAAAACAAAGTTTGAATGATAATGTTAACCAAAGTACAGAAAAATTGCTACAGGCTGTGACAATGGAGAACAGTATAAAAACAATAGAAACAAAGGCAGAATATAAGGAAAAACAGCTGGATGACAGATTAAATAGATGGAAAACCAAAGCTTTGCNGTATATAAGTCCACTGCTATTGCTATTGCTAAATAAATTGTTGTAAGTCAAGGGCTACCTGTATATTGCTTTAAAAATTGTTTTAATATATTTTATATGGTTAGTTAGATGAGAATAAAGCAGAAGGGCACAGTATAACGAATAGATCTAAAACAAACCTCTATTTCTTCCACAATACTTCTTAAATCTGCCTGCTGTGACAAATAGGATGCAGTCTGCAAAGCCTGAATTGTTCTGAAACAACAGAAACCATAATATATGATCCTACCAATTACAAGTGGATTGATCTCAGAAGTATGAAACATGAATATCCATTAAAACAGCACTAACAAATTGGGATTCATTTGGTAAAAAGGTTTGCATAAAATGTTACTAAAAAGTTGTATGATTTGATTAAAGTCAATTTTATTTTCCTAGATTAGAAACTGTAGCAGTTTCCGAATTCTAACATCCGGGTGTGATAATTAACATTTCTATGAATAGCTTAAGTCAGAAGTTCCCCAAAGCTTCAATGTACAGTAATCCAATTATATTCCCAATTCTGTTCCATGCTTATGGCTCATTAAACCATGTGACATAAGTTACATAAGTGTCAGTAAACTAGACCTTATTAAATAACTCAGTTCATCTGAAGAGAAAAAAAACCTATAATGCAGAAATAAATAACAACACAGCAGCCTAGCTTTGATGTTCCAAATGTTTCTCTGAGTGATCCTCAAGATAAACACTTACGCCAAGATGTTTTCTTCTTTGCTAAGACGAGAAGTGAGTGCAGTCAGGGCTTCTTGGGAAGCGAGAGGAAGCCCAAAACCATTCAGGGCTCCAACAGCATGATAAATCTGGGTAATCGAAGAATCTTCACTGATAGCTTCAAGTAGCAATTCCCTGGTTTCATTTGAAATTGCAATCTAGGAATAATACACTAATGCAGTATACATAAATCATTGCCATAAGTGTTTATCCTTACAGCTAACAATTGCTTCCTAATGGAAGTCAGGTCTTCAAACTCCCCCAAATTAAGAAACAAAACTCTGACATGCCAAATTTCATTGTATTTATTTTGTACAATGACAATATATATATAAATCATACTACTGTACTATCCATTCTGATGTACAACTCTTGAATTTCAGGCAGAGGTCTTTCCCATTTATTATTATGTGATGTCTTTAACTGGAGGACAAGGGATTGAACCCAGGGATTCTATTTATACTACTGTTTACATCCTAAACTTTAGGTTCTTCAAAACCTAATGATACTGACCTCTATAAATGAACAGTACTATTTTGGATGTACAGAGAGAATTGAGACTGATGTTCATACAGCTGATTAAACGAAATATCTTGAACAAAAGACATATTCCAACTATGGTGCACTCCAGTTTATACTTGCAGTCTAATGTCACTGCAAATTCTGCTTTAAGGCTAGTACTTTAGCTTAATCAATGTTTCAATGAGCAGAATGGAAGAAAATCTGGAAATCACAACTAACCACTTAGAGACA